TATATGGAGCAACTGCCAGGGTTTGTTGCTCAGGGGGAGGATGGTAAGGTTTGTAGACTCAAAAAGACAATTTATGGACTGAAACAATCTCCACGTGCATGGTTTGGCAGGTTCAGTGAAGTAGTGAAAGACTTTGGGATGAAACAGTGTCAGGTAGACCATTCTGTGTTCAGCTATGACTCAAAAGATGGGAAAATCTTGCTAGTGGTGTATGTGGATGATATTGTCATAAATGGGAGTGATAGTAATGGGATTGATAGGTTGAAGAAATTCCTATAGGACCACTTCAATACGAAAGATTTGGGTAAGCTGAAGTACTTCCTGGGAATAGAAGTTGCAAGGTCAAGGCATGGAATTAACTTATGTCAAAGAAATTATGTTCTTGACCTACTTGAAGAAACAAGACTATTAGGTGCTAAACCAGTAGAGACTCCTATGGAACTTAATATCAAGTTGAGTGTTGATGCAGGTGAAGAGTTTGATGATCCTGGAAGATACAGGAGGTTGGTGGGAAAGTTGAATTATTTGACTATTACTCGACCAGATACATCATTTGTTGTATGGTGAGTCAGTTTATGCAACATCCTCAAATTCCTCATTGGGAAGCGGTTCTAAGGATTGTTAGGTGCCTGAAGGGTGCTCCAGGTCGTGGTTTGCTATACCAAAGTGGAGGGACTCTTGAAATAGTAGGGTATACAGATGCTGATTAGGCTGGTTCTATATCAGACAGGAGATCAACTACAGGGTATTGTACCTTCTTTGGTGGCAATCTTGTAACTTGGAAGAGCAAGAAACAAACAGTGGTGGCAAGGAGTAGTGCAGAAGCTGAGTACAGAGCTATGRCTCATACCACATGTGAACTAGTATGGTTGAAGAACTTGCTACAAGAGATGGGATTCTCGGTTGACAAACCCATGAGATTATACTGTGATAACCAAGCTGCTGTTCACATTTCTTCCAACCCAGTCTTCCATGAGAGAACCAAGCATATTGAGGTCGATTGTAAATTTGTGAGAGAGAAAGTGATAAGTGGAGTGGTAATCACATCTCATGTGAGCTTAGGAAATCAGTGGGCATATCTCTTTACAAAGGGATTGTCTCGGGGCAGAGTAGATTATATTTGTGACAAGCTAGGACTATATGACATATACTCTCCAGCTTGAGGGGGAGTGTTAGAGTACACAAAACAGGGGTATTTTGGTCATTTGCATTTATCTATTTGAGAGTGAAAGGTCTGTTTTGTTTAAGTGTAAGTTATGTGTCCCACCACTTATGAGGGACAATATGGTCTTTCTTGTAACTATGTTATTGGAGATAAATACAAGTGGGTCGATTAGAGAGAGGACTGATTTTCCTCTACTGGCCAAACCCTTCTTCTTCTTCTTCTTCTTCTTCTTCTCTACTGTAACCTAGGACTAAATAAGGTTTTCACACATCTAACCAATATGTGGGTTGCAGATGCTGATCTGAGCAATTTGCTTATTGTGTTGATGAAGGTTTTTATTATTTGAGCATATTTGCATTCAAATTACCACCATTTTCTTGAGGTTTATGTTATCTGCATGGTAAATGCAGCCCCATGGGATCACATGTAAAGAGAATATTCTGAAGGAATGTGAAGAAGAAGCAGGACTACCTAGATCCATTTCCAATAGGTAGAGTATAATTTCCAAGTTACTATTTCATTCATTTTTCCTTCTTGAAATTCAAATTGACTATTAAAGAACCCTAAAGGTGGACTTTAATTTTAAAAGTTGGAACTTTATTGATATCTGATTATCCATTACTTTATTTTAATATGTTTATTTTCATTTCATGCATAATTGGGATGATGTGTATGTAATGCTTGTGTTGCAGAGCTGTCCCAGTTGGTGTTGTTTCATACATGGATATCAATGGTTATAGTTTCAAAAGAGATGTCCTTTTCTGCTATGATTTAGAACTTCCTGATGAATTCATTCCAACAAATCAAGGTAAGTAATTTTAATCGATGCTCTTCTTTCCCCATACTATGAAGGCAGCTCCCCCCC